AGTCTGCCAACAAAAATGTTAAGTCTTTTTTCTGTAAACATTTTTCTGGAAAATGAAAATTTCCTTTGCTGCCTTGTGCTTTTTTGCGGGCTGTTGGTTTGGCCGGGGCGGTGATGCAAGAGGAAGAAGGGGTTGATCTGGATCCAGGGGGTGGCATGATGAAGGGGGGGGGGGGCGGTAGCGAGCAGGGGAAATGAACCTGTCAGGAATTAGGGGACCCCCGCGCGGCCGCTAAGTGGCGCGGCGATGTTATCAACATTCCGGAGGGCTTTATCTCCCGGACGGGACGGGACGGGCGGAGAGCGCGGGGCGCCCGGGAGGCGGGCTGTACCGGGGGACCGGGGCGCGCCCGCGCTGCCTACCCGCCCGGCGCCCCTCCGGCCACCCGAGTGTTTCAATGTCGCCCCCGCCCGGCCCCGCGCCCCGCCTCACTCGCGCATAATGCTGATAATTGCGCGTCCTGTGGGCCGCAACTGCTCCGGAGCACACGACGCGACGGGCCGCGCGGCGCCCCGCTGGGGGGTCGATACAACACCCCCCCCCCCCTCCCGACTTATGTAATACGTTGCACCGTTATCTGGAACTGCCTGCCGCCGCCTCCGCTGCTGCTGCTGCTGCTGCTGCTGCACGGAAGTGGTTAAACTCGGGGCTTGATGCGATTTGTGAATGTCAACCTGTTTCCTCGGTGGCGCGAGGTCACCCTGCTGCTGCCAGGGGCGAGGTTGTGTCTGGTGCAGCGGGCTGATAGTCATGCCCGGCTCATGCCATCCTCCACCAGCGGCGCGGCGCCAAGTTTCGGACGAGTGAAGTGAATACTGCCGTGATGTGCCGCCGGGTCTGTCACTGTGGCCCGTCACGCGAGCTGCGAGCGCGAGGGGGCAGGCCTCGCGCGTCTCTTCACACGAGTCGAAGTTGTTGTATGTTGCGCCGCCGAGACACCATCAAAAACATGAGTTCGGAAAAATAAAGAAAAGCGACAACTAACGTGGATTTCCTTTTTGTGTTTCGTTACATCAGATCCTGTACGAGACAACTCAGGACGTCCCCGCCGGCACCGAGCTCCTCCTCGGACCCCGGGAGCCGCTCCTGCTGGACATGCTGACCGCCGACAACGCTGCCGAGGACCGCAGCGACAGGGAATCCGGTGAGTACAAAATACAGAAGTCGAGATTACAAGAGATGCACTGTTTACGCGCCCTTTTTTCCGAACCGCCGCGGGTTTGCTAGACACTGCTTATTCGTGCAACACGTGGAGGAGCGGGGTGGGCTGGGGCCAGGGTGT